ATCGTCAGTGTTCGTTGCGATATCTACGATGAAAGCCTCACACATAATGAGACATTCTATAAAGAACCATCTTCTGTAAGAAGTGCACAGATGCCTGATCAACTTAAAAGGATCGACGGTAAAAACGAACTAAGAAAGACGAAAATTCAATGAACGGGAAAATTACTGCGACCTAATAGTAGCTTTTTACTACAGTGGGAGTTAGCACAAGAATGTTACAAACGAGGTATGCACTAAAGACAAAGCTCCTCTTATTATTTCGTTTGTCAGTTTGCTCACTTCCAGAATAATGACGTTATCCTTAGGAAACCAATTTAATTTCGCCAAGCCAGATATTCCGCCATATCTCGGCCAACACATAAAGCAGACCTGTTTAGGGCGAACCGCGGACCGGCTAGAGGCAGTTACTCACAAACATTGGCTTAAAAAAATCTGTTATTGGTTCATTATTTTCTGCGAAATTGCTATAAATTTTGTGCTTTCCGATTCGCTTCAAAGCGATATTTTAAACAAAACATTTTAATGTTCATATAAAATTTACGGAACATAATTACAGCTAGGTTTAATTAAGCTGTCGGAGTATGTTTTAAATAACGAAGCAGGAGATAAAAGTTTTCTAATCTACTGCGAAGTGCAAGTAATATGAAGTTTTCGAGGAATTTCATAACTTGGAAGTTGTACTGTTGCATATTTCTATTAATCTGTCTAACTAACGCAGTCGAGTTGTTATTTCAAAGTAGGTTAAATTAAAAGCTCGTTTAACTCCCGCTAAACATGAAGCAAATCGAGTTTCCAAAAAATGTAATCCCTCGAAGTGTAGACTTTCTCCAGTTTTAATTTTTTAATTCATCGATTTGCCATTTTTCGCTGAATTTTCCTATTTTCCAACTTTTGGATAAATCAACGAATTTTCAATTTTTAATTTTTCAATTTGCAATTTTTTATTTTCTTTATTTTTTCAATTTTTCAGTTTGCAATTTTTCGTTTTAAATATGTAATAGTAATAAAGAATTTTTATGATTTTAGAAGATTTCCATTTTTTAGTTGTTGAATTTAAATTTATTTCAAATAAAATAAATTAATTTTTTTCTTTAAATTTTACGTTTCTTCAATTTTTATTTTCCATCTCAATTTTAAACACCTAATAATTAATAATATTTTTTTTGTAATTTTCACTTTTTCAATTACACGATTCTAAAATTTTTCCATTTTTCAGTTATTGGAATTAAAACTGTTTTCATTTATTCGACTTTTCAATTTGTCGTTTCTTCAGTTTTCCATTTCTTCAGATTTTCGATTTGCAGTTTTCGTTTCGTTTTTTTTTTTAATTTTACAGTTTTTCAATTTAAATTTTGTTCGTAATTAATTGTTATTAATTTTTTTTCTTCGATTTTAAACTCTTCCATTTTTCATTTTTTAATTTTTCAAATTTTAATGACTTCAATTCTTGTTTGTACTAATTTAATAATCTAGTTTTCTTTTTTCAATGTAAAATTTTTCAAATTTTGGATTTTTCAATTTTTTTTAGATTTGATAATTCTTCATTTCTTCAATTTTTAATTTTTCAGTATTTTAAGTCTTCAATTTTTCGATTTGCAAATTTTCCATTTTAGATTTTTTAATTTGGCGTATTTTTCGATTTTAAATATTTAATAATAAGGGTTTTTAAACTTTTTCACTTTTTTAATTTCAGGATTTTAGAATTTTCCCATTTTTCAATTCTAAAATTTTTCAATTATTTAACTTTTTAATTTTCCGTTTTTTAATTTTCCAATTTTCCGATTTTCAGTTTTTCCAACTTTTCAATGTGTCACTTTTTAGATTTTGCAATTTTTCGATATGCAATTTTTAGTTTCGGTTTTTATTTTTTTTCTTCATCGTTCCTTCTTTATTTTTTCAATTTTTGGATTTGAATTTTCATTTTTAATTTCCATTTTTCGATTTTTCAAAAATTCGTGTTTTTATTTTTTCGGGTTTCCAATATTCTGATTTCATTACTTTGGTGTAAAATTTTCCAGTTTTTAGATTTCAATTTTTAAAATTGTAGTTTTTCTAGTTTTTATTATTAAAAAAAATCGGCTTTTCAATTTTACGATTTTACAATTTTTCAATTTTTTATTTCTTCAAATTTTCGTCTTGCGATTTTTGGTTTTTGGTTTTGTATTTTTTTATTTTCAGAATTTTCGATTTTTCAATGTTCAGTTTTTATAATTTTTTGTTTTTTCAATTTTTCGATTTGCCATTTTTCACTTTTAATTTTTTTTTTGTTCTTTTTGAAATTGAAGAAACAAAAACATGAAAAAATGTTGAATGTTTCAACTTTCAGATTTTGCAATTTCACGAGTTTCGGTTTTCCATTTTCTTTATTTTTTCGATTTTTAGTTTTTCAGTGTTTTCATTTTAAATATGTAATACTAGTACATAATGATAGTAATTAAAAAAAAACACTTTTTAATTTTTTCGATTTTACAATATTTCCATTTTTCAGTTATTGGATTTAAAACTTTTTGATTTTTTTAATTTTTCCGTTTTTAATTATTCACTATCTCGATATTTAATTTTTCAATTTTTCCATCTTTCAATGTTACAGTTTTTCGACTTTACAATTTTGAATAATTAAAATTTTTCGAATTCAATTTTTTGGGTTTTCCAATTTTTCGATTCGATTCTGTTCTTCTTCTGAATTTTTCGATTCTTTAATTGTTTCCAATTGTTAATTTTTCGATTTTTAATTTTCCAATTTTTCGATTTTCAGTTTTTCCAACTTTTCAATGTGATTTTGCAATTTTTCGAACTGCAATTTGTAGTTTCGGTTTTTATTTTTTTCTTCATTGTTCCTTCTTTATTTCTTCAATTTTTGGATTTGACATTTCCATTTTTCGATTTTTCAAAAATTCGTGTTTTCAATTTTTCGGGTTTCCAATATTCTGATTTCATTATTTTTTTTTTGGTGTAAAATTTTTCAGTTTTTAGATTTTCAATTTTTAAAATTGTAGTTTTTTTAGTTTTCATTTTAAATATGTAATAATAAAATTTTTCGAATTCAATTTTTCGGGTTTTCCAATTTTTCGATTCGATTCTGTTCTTCTTCTTCTGAATTTTTCGATTCTTTAATTATTTTCAGTTGTTAATTTTCTTTTTGCATTTTTTCGATTTTCTATTTTTTTGATTTTGCAATTTTTCGTTTTTTCAATTTTTTACAACTTTTTAGTTTTTCCATTTCCCAGTTTTTCATTTTTTCGACTTTACGAATGGAAAAACTGCTAAATTGTATAAAGTATAAAATGAAAACTTTCAGAAATCTAAAAATCCAAAATCAAGAACTTGAAAAACTGCGAAAACGAAAAGTTCAAAAATCCAAAGAATAAAAAGTGAGAAACTTAAAAATCGAAAAAGGGCAAAATCAAAAAAACGAAATATGTATTGCCAAAATCGATATACTGAAAATTAAAAAAATCGTAAAATCGGATAATTGGAAATCCAAAAATTTGCTAAATTGATAATTTTAAAAATTTCGAAAACTGAATAAACGAAAAATGTTGACATAAAGACATAATGACAGACCGACGGCAGCAAAGAACAACAGAATGGCATAAAGACAGAATGACAGGAGAACATAATGACAGAAAGATAGAATTACAGAATTATAATAATCCTGTAGACGTCCATGTGAAGCTAAATTCTTTATCTTCGACAAAGCACATCTAATTTGGTAGAGTCTCATCTTTTTTTTATTATTTGTAGGCAGATTTTTTTGTATGTTATTTAAAAAAAAAATAATTAGTTAACTTTCGAGAGAAGTGAATTAAATTAATTATTATTAGTAAAATAAATAAAGTGTTTGGTTAAAAACACCACATACAAAATTCTCTAGTTTGTCCCTGGATTAAAAATTATCCGGAGATCTTTCGTACAAACCAAAAGAATTTTGATGAAATTTATAACAAAACGGTAAGTTTTAGTAGCTGTTTTTGGATTAAATGTTTTAAATGGTTGTGGTATTTTCCAACAAGTTTTTTCTGAATATACTACAGATATTGTACAGGGTCATTATAAAATATTGTAGTCGAAGAAGGCCATGATTTTGGTGACATTTTGTGCCGCCTTTTTCAGTTTTGTGGAAAGGATTACACTAATATTGGAATTTTTATTTTTAGCGCCACATTAGTTGACATTAGCGGCTGCACTGTTTCAACGCTTCATCAAATTCTGTCAGATGTCAATAATTTTTTCGTTTGTACTGGTACGTTTTCCCTCACTTTGTGCGTTAATTGACTTGTCTTGTTTTCATTTTTGCTGTCTTCCCCTTTGTTAGAACTTTAATAAGTGTCTCAAAAAAACAGTTTTTATCAAAACTACAGATCATTGTGGAATAATCTCAGGTAATGAACAGAGAGGAATAACTATGGTCAGTGTTACAAATGATTTTTTTAGTCCTTTGGCGCAATCATCATGCCTATTACCGTAATGGGGTGTTAAATGAGGATGGGGATGGAGTGTACTCTGTGGAGGCGTCTAAAAACGAGTATCTAGTGAAATGTTCTGTTGTCATTGATGAAGAATCTTTGAAGACGCTATATGGCGAATTATGGCCAGATTTAACGACACTGGTAGCATTTCTAAGTGAAAACCGACGGGGAGACCTCAAGTTAGTGAAGACGTTGTTGAAGATTTAAGGATGAGAATGGAACAAAGTCCGAATAAAGCTTTGTCAAAAATCTTTACTGTCCGGAGTACCATACAGCCCATGTCAGAAAATCGTAAAAGAGAAGTTACATATGCATCCATACAAGATTTTGTTGGTTCAGGAGCTGCAACCAGCTGATTTTCCTTGCCGCGTTGGGTAGTGTAGTTGGTTTCAAGCTGATATGGACGATAACGGGATTCTCGATTTGTCGTTCTTTTCTGATGAAGCCTGGTTTCATCTGTTAGGCTATTATGTCAATTGACAGAACTTCAGAATTTGGTGTATAGAAAATACTCACGCTTTTGAAGAAACACCATCACACGCAATGAAGGTTGGTGTGTGGTTAGCAGACGACGATTCATAGGCCTGATACTTTTTCAAGTAAATGAATGTGATCAATAAACAAAATTAGATGTAGAAAGTGTATGTAGGTACTGCAATAAAGTTTTTTATTTTCAGTAACTTTCATTTTTCTTTCGGTGTTAGTTGCATTCTCTTAATTTAAAACTTACTTCAACTTACTGTTTAGTAATAATTGTAATTTTACTATTAGGAAAGTTAAAAATCTTTATTAAACATTCTGTTGTTTCAAGAGATCTCATAATCATCTACAGAACTCTTAACACTATGTTCCTGAAATTTTATTGGTTTTTTCATCTTTTTTCTTATAGAAATTTTGAAAAATCTTGATATTAGGATGGCCATGTGGGCGTGTTTTGGGTAGAACCTCTTTGACATTCCTGTTATGCAGATCTGGCATGTTTCAGATATCTAGAAACTGCAAAGCTGAAGGTAATGTTTGGACATAGCAGTTTTCACCTATTGTAGGGATGAAGATCAAGGATTTCAGTTGTGTTTTTTCAAGAGAAAAGCACCGGTCACAAACCATGTCTGCACCAATATTTTGACGATTCCTTTCAATTTACAAACAGAACTTTCGCGGGATCACAACTTTGGCAAAATTATTTACTGCAAAAACTCATTAGGTACTCATAGTGTTCGTTAACTGTGATAAGACTTGCTCTGCCATTGTCCATTACGTGATTTTTCACAATTTTTACCTTCAGGGTACCTATAAAAATGTAATTTTTTAAATAATTACCGTGTTCATTGGTTTCGACAAACTTAACCTCACTTTTTGGATTTCATTATTTGAAAAATTATTGCTTCTTTGCAAAACAGACCAGATGATTTATTCTGTTCAACTCCAATCGACTTTCCAAGGTGTAATTCATGACAAAGCCCTTAAACGTTTTTCTGACAATGTACAATTTTTGAAACTGAAATGTATTGCAGTGGCGTTCACAAATGCCCGATAACACTGCAACCCTTAATGCTCTGGCCTGGCGTCTTTTCGTGTCTATTTAAAATGAATGTAAACCGCGAACCGGGCATTTCAATTTTTGACACATCTGACAGATTTGTTTGGACGTTCGTGACATTTCAAAACAGTTCAAATCATTTTGGTGATTAGCGGCACGAGAAAAATTTCATTTGTTTTTCATAGGTGAGTTGACTACAATATTTTATAATGACCCTGTATTAATAACGAACTAAAGCGACTTTAGTTCGTTATTAGAACGAGCAATGTGTAAAGCTCCACCATGTCAACATGTCTAACTTTGGTATGCTGAAAACAAACTCTAATTGAAACTACACCGGTCCATTGTTTCCCAGTTATTTTGGTTATTTTATACGTGCGCTGAGCTTTCGGCGAAAGCGCGTCACTGCAATCCACAACGTTCTGCTGCACCCTGAAAATCAAGCTCGTACCACTTTTCCTAAAATTTTTGGCTTAATTAATCGCCGCTCTAAACCCGGAAGACTATAATCCCCTCGTACACATTTCAGAAAACGCGATGCTTGTGACAGGTCGCTTAAAGAGCCGACTAGTCGGCCTTACAGGCGGCTTATCTTTATTTAAAACGCCCTAATTCCGATGACTTGTAACACATGAAAGGGAATTTTCCAGGTCGAGCACCTGCCACGCTCCGATTTGGAATAAGGAGAGGGCAACCAACTGCAAATAAGCTTTCTTCAAATTGGATGTGCACCTCGTGGAAGGAAAAAGATAAATTATCTGAAAAATAACACACGCGCAACACAAGAACAGTGTTTCTTGCAAAAACTAAAGCAAATAAATCTTCGTGACAAATTGACAATGTGTTGCAGACAATGACGTATAAGGATTTGGGCGCCTCTTCTGCCCATTTATACCGGAGAGGGCATTGTAAGAATATCAGAATGTGAAGAGGCGTCCCTGCTTGGGGAAGAGACAAATTAACAGACGCAATTAGCGGTTGCGAATGTGGGAAGATGAAAGATGGAACGTTTGATGTGAAAGAGGGTAGAGTGCATGAGCCGGTTAATTGCGAACCAGTCAATAGAACTTTCCACGAGACCAGCGTTAATTTAAGCAACTTACACACAAGAACTGCATTAAATTATGCACTTCTTGTTGGTTTTCCGCGGAAGTTTAATTAGACAGCTCGCTCTAATATTTCCGAGCTTTTTCCGAGATTGATTTCAATTTTTTTCGTATTTACCCAGCCGAACGCACTTTCCGGTTCTAACCGAATCTAAATAATTGAAATTTTATATTTACTCACCGTTTTAGCTCGTAAATGCTATTCGGAAGCAGATGGTGCGTTCTGATTTGCAATTTCATTAGTCATTATGATACTGTTGCAGCGTGCTATGCAAATTAGAGGAGTTGATAATTTCAAAAATAATCCGGGATCCTATAAATCATCGACCCGTTTAGGTTGTGCCAGCGCTCGAGTAGACGACACGTTTTTGTAAATTGCCATTGAAATTAATGGTGATTGCAAACAGCTTGCTTTTGTCGACGGGGACTCGTAAAGAGTGGCTGACAATGGTGTTGCGTTATAAGCCTTTTGAAGGCTTTCAAAATACCAAAAAAAAAATCGTCTTTAGATTGGGGATGCTATACTTCGATCCAAGCCTTCGTTAAAATAAAAATATCTACCAAAAATTGGTATTTTATTGTAGCGCAATTGAATTCACAAATCCATAATCACAAAAGGAATTAAGTAATCATACTTAGTTATGTAAAGTTATGTGACTAAATTTCTGTAAACATCTAACTATTTCTTTGTTTCTCTTTCTCAGTAAATGTTAGCTGTCTCTCTGTTCCCCTATCACCCTCTTTCCCTTTCTTTCTGTCTCTATTTGCCTCCTGTCTTCCTGTTTCCCCATTTCTTTATCTTTCTATCTTCTCTCTCCCTTGCTTCCTTGTTCCATATGTCCCTTTCTGTTTCAGTCCCTCTTCCACCTCTCTCTCTCTCTCTGTATCTCACTTTCTTCCTCTCGCTTCCTGCCTTATTGTCCACTTCTTTATCTTTTCCCACTGTTTCTCTCACTGGCTCATTCTTTCCTTACCGTTCTCTAACATTTTGTCCCTACATCCCTTTTCCCTCTCGCCCTCCCTTAGTCTGTCCCTCTCTGTCTGCCTTCCTAGTTCTTTATTTCCTTGCCTTTTACATCTCTGTTTCACCCGTTCTCACTATTCTATTTTCTTCATTTCCCCGTTCGCACCTTCTGATTTTCATTCATTCCCTCATTCTCTCTTTATCTGCTCCCCTATTTTACCTTTTTCTTCTTTCTCTCCGTTTTTAAGTTTCTGTGTTTTCCGTTTTCAGGCTACTCTTGTCTCCCTAGGTCGCTATCTTCCTATCTTCCTGTCTATCTCCCTTTGTCTCGCTTTCCCACTTTACCGAATTCCCATTTTCCATTTACCCTGTTCTCCTCTATCTTTTTTCTCTATTTTCCATTCACCCATTAGACTCTTTTCCGCTTTCCATTTTTCCCGTTTTCTCAAATTCACTTTTTGCTTCTTTCTGTCATCCCCCTTTTCCTCTTTTCTCTTTTCTTCCATTTCCTCTTTCTCTCTCGTCCTCCTCCTCCTCTGATTCCCCCTTTACTCTGTTTTCTATTCGTTTTCTGTTTTTCCTTTTGTCTCTTTGTCTCTCTTGTCCTCTCATCCTTCCTCATTCCGTCTCTCTTTCTCTGTGTCCCTAACTCCTAATATCCCTGTCTCCCTTTGGCACCCCCATGACACTCTTTCCTTTTGTTCTCTCTTTCTCTTATTTACTCCTTTTCTGATTCCCCACTTTCTCACTCTCTCATTCGTTTTCCGTTACTCCTTTACTTCATTCTTCATTTGTTTCTTTGTTTCCTCTCACACTTTCTCACTCGTTTCCTATTTCCCTGTCTCCTTAGCCCCTTATCTCCTTGTCTTTCTGTGGCGCTTGCCTATTCTCTCTTTCTTTCTCCCTCTGTCTCTTGTTCTCTCTGTGTTTCATCAATATTTCTGTCCATTTTGCCCCCCTTTATTTTATTTTTTTTTGTATCATTTCTTCTTTCTCTTTTCCCCTTTTCCGTATTTCTTTCTTTTCCACTTTTGAGTCCATCGGCCGACTCGGTAATTTTATGCATTTTTGACGTTTCATAACCCCTAGAATACGAAAGCATAGGTCTCTCATTTCTGTCTGTTTGTCGTCTGTCCGTGACAATGTAAATGTTATTTAAATTTTATAAAATAACGTAGTTCCCCACTTGTAGTTTATGAACCTGTGTTCTTCTTCCCTTTCCATTCCCTTTTTTCCTTTTACCTTTTTTCCCCTTTCCCTCTTTCCTTGTCCCTTATTTCCTCCTTTGCCCTTTCCCTGTTTCTCTGGTTCCCACTTCCTCACTTTTCTTTCTCCTCTCTTTTTTCTTTCCTTATTTGTTTTCTTTTCCTCTTTCCCTTTCTACTTCCCTGCTTGTCGCTCTTTCGCTTTTTCTTTCTATCTCTCTTTACCGCTCTAACCCATTCCCTCTTTTTTTCCTTCCCTAAACACTCCAAACCACACGAAGCGGAAATTTCTCCCGTTTCCTCTTTCCTACTTAGCTTCTTTCCCCTTTTCGTTCTTCCTGTCGTTCCTCTTTTCCTCTTTCTTCTTTCTCCCCTACTCTCTTTACCTCTCTCTCTCAGCTTCACCATCTCTTTACCACTGTCGCTCAGTCGCTCTTTCCGTCTTTGCATTTTTGCTCTTGGTCTCCCTCTCTTTCCTCCCTCTTTCTCTCTCTCTCTGTGTGTCTTTGCTACCTTCCTTTATTTCCTCTATCCATTTAGCTCTATTTCATCCTTTTCTTTTTTCTTTCTTTGTGTCATTCCAACCTACTTTCCGTCCTTCCCTGATTTTCCTTCACTTTCTTTGTTTCCCTTACTTTGTCCTTCTCTTCTTGTCCTCTTCTATCTTTCTTTGCCACTCTCCCCAATTCCTCAGCCTCTCTGTCCCTATTTTTCTTATTTCATTCATCTTTCCTTCTTTTTGCTTCTCGTCTCTGCCTTTCTCCCTCTATCCCTCTCTCTCACCCCCCTCATTCTCCGTTGTCATCTTTTCCCTTTCCCATTGTATTTCTCTGTCATTCCTTCTTTTCCTCTTAGTTTTCGCTCCCTTTTCTTATCTATTTCCCTCTTTTCCTCCTCCTCTATTTTCCACTTTTACTATTTCCTTTTTTCTTTATTTTTTCGTTTCTCTGTTCCTTCATTACCGCGTTTCTCTTTTGCTCTTTTTCTCCGCGTGTCTCATTCTTTCATTATTTCCTTCCCACCCTCTCCATCTCCCTATCTCCTTATCTTTCTATTTTCCCTTCTATCTTTCTTCCACTTTCCCAGTTTCCTTCAGTCGCTAATTCCCTATTTCTCTCGCTCTCCCTCTCTCTCAGTCTCCACTTTTCTCTCTATCTCTTCATTTTTGCGATTCTGCTTCGGTACATCTTCCATTTCTCCATGTTTTCCTATTTTCCTTTTTCCTTTTTGCTGGCATTCCCTCTTTCCTATTTTTCTATTTCTTCTTTTTTCTTTCCTTGTTTTCTTGGATCACTTTTCCTCTCACTTTACCACTCTCCATCATTCCTTCTTTTCTCATTTCTTCTTTCACATTTACTCTTTTTTCCTTTTACCCCATTTCTCGATATTCTTCTCTCTTTCGTTTGTATTTTTGTTATATCTCTCTTTCCCATTCTTTATCGTTCGCCTTTTTTTTGTCCCTTTGTTTTCCTGCTTCTTTATTAACATGTTGCGCATACAGGCAAATTCCAATATACAGGATGTTTTGTTTTGAAAGTTCCACACCACTGAACTTTTTGAAAGTTAAATCCTTTATTAAAAAAGACGAACATTATATTGGACACACAATTTAGTAGAGTAATTTAATTTTTAGGCGAAGAGAGTTAGTGTAAATAATTTTGTAGATTTTTTTTTCAGTAAGAGGTGATGTACCCATGTCATAGTTTGTCGAAGCAAAAGCGAACTCGTTTTTGAAGTGTGACGTCACAAGTATTGATTTCCCCATATAAATGCATTTTTATATTATGAAATGTGACATGAACAGTTGGAAGTTTTTTCGTTATTAATGTGTCATTATTTTACACACAAATTTTAATTAGCGTCATAATAAAAACTCATTAAATAAATCCTTGCAGGAAACTGTATTTGTTATTTTTTAAATTTCGACAACATTTTTGACTCATGCACTCTCGCTTTTGCGCTAAACCGCTTACACAACAGATTGACTTTTAATTATTTCTGTAATTTTATAAAGCCGTCGTAAATCCTGTTTATAATTTTCGCATCATAAACACTAGTAGCCTGTTTATTGCGGTGTTATCTTAGATTTATAGATGTTTGCACAACGATGTTTTTATTAGACGATCCTTCCCTAAACACCGTAATCTGTTTCAATCTGTCATAGAGATAAGTGGAGATGATTAGTGATGGCCGGGAACGGAAGTGGAAAGGTCCGTAATTGTATAAAAGAAAACAGGTCGACTTTTCTGATAACATTTAACACTTAATTAGAAACGAGAACATAAAAGCGTTAAACGATTATCGCTTCATTCTTTGTTCTTCCGGGTTTATTGCAGCCGTCAAAAATAAAATAAAAATTTGATGCAATTTTCTGTTAATAACGGAATTACACAAACTGGGCGAACGGAAACTGAGCAGGAATTGATTAATATAATGTTCGGTTTGTGTTAACGCGAAATGCTAGATATTTTTGTTGGTTTTGGTCGGACGTAGGTGGATAATAATGGAATTTACAAACTATATATTAATAAGTATATTTAGACGGTTCATTTCGTATCAAGATAGACAATCTGATTGAACGAACGTAATAATAATAAAAGAAAAAAATTAATGTTGAATATAAATAAATTAGAACCAGTTAGAACAATTCGTGAGAGTGGAAAATTTTGATGAATAATAAAGTTAAGAACTAATTTTTTTTGTCATTAGAGGTTTATAAAATTGACACTGGCAGGCCCCGACATTCTATTACATTCATAATAAACAATACACTCAGGGTCTCCGAGATTCTTTCATATTCTTAAAAAAAACATTATGGAGCCCACGAGATTCTATCACATTTAAAAGAAAAGACACTGACGACACTCGAGATTCTTTTACATTCTTCAAAAAAAAAAAAAAAACACGAGAAGCCCTCGAGATGTTTTCACATTTTTTTACAAAAACACTAGGAGCCCACGAGATTCTTTCACATTTTGAAAAAAAGACACTAGGAGTCATCGAGATTCTTTCAAAGTAAAAAATTCACCAAAAGTCCCCGAGATTCTTTCATATCCTTAAAAAAACACCATAGCAGTCCAGGACATTCTATCACATTCAAAAGAAAAGACACTAACGACACTCGAGATTCTTTTACAATTTCAAAAAAAAAACAAACACAAGAAGCCCCCGAGATTCTTTCACATTTTTTTACAAAAGACACTAAAAGCCCACGAGATTCTTCCACATTGAAAAAAAGACACTAGGAGTCATCGAGATTCTTTCAAAGTAAAAAATTCACCAAGATTCCCCGAGATTTTTTCATATTCTTCAAAAAACACCATAGGAGCCCACGAGATTCTATCACATTTAAAAGAAAAGACACTGACAACACTCGAGTTTCTTTTACGTTCTTCAAAAAAAAAACACAAGAAGCCCCCGAGATTCCTTCATATTTTTTTACAAAAGACACTAAGAGCCCACGAGATTCTTTCACATTGAAAAAAAGACACTAGGAGTCATCGAGATTCTTTCAAAGTAAAAAATTCACCAAGAGTCCCCGAGATTCTTTCATATTCTTAAAAAAAACCATAGGAGCCTAGGAGATTCTATCACATTTAAAAGAACAGACACTAACGACACTCGAGATTCTTTTACATTCTTCCAAAAAAAAAACACAAGAAGCCCTCGAGTTTTTTTCACATTTTTTTAAAAAAACACTTGGAGCCCACGAGATTCTTTCACATTTTGAAAAAAAGACACTAAGAGTCATCGAGATTCTTTCAAGGTAAAAAATTCACCAAGAGTCACCGAGATTCTGTCATATTCTTAAAAAACACCATAGGAGCCCTCGAGATTCTATCACATTTAAAAGAAAAGACACTGACAACACTCGAGTTTCTTTTACGTTCTTCAAAAAAAAAAACACAAGAAGCCCCCGAGATTCTTTCACATTTTTTACAAAAGACACTAGGAGGCACGAGATTCTTTCACATTTTGAAAAAAATACACTAGGAGTCATCGAGATTCTTTCAAAATAAAAAATTTCCCAAGAGTCCCTGAGATTCTATCATGTTCTTAAAAAAACACCATTGGAGCCTTTGAGATTCTATCACATTTAAAAGAAAAGACACCAACGACACTCGAGATTCTTTTACATTCTTCAAAAAAAAAAACACAAGAAGCCCCCGAGGTTCTTTCACATTTTTTTACAAAAGACACTAGGATCCCACGAGATTCTTTCACATTTTGAAAAAAAGACACTAGGAGTCATCGAGATTCTTTCAAAGAAAAAATTCACCAAGAGTCCCCGAGATTTTTTCATATTCTTAAAAAAACACCATAGGAGCCCACGAGATTCTATCACATTTAAAAGAAAAAGCACTCGAGATTCTTTCACATTTTGAAAAAAAGACACTAGGAGTCATCGAGATTCTTTCACATTAAAAAAAAAAAGACACTAGGAGTCATCGAGATTCTTTCAAAGTAAAAAATTCACCCAGAGTCTCCGAGATTCTTTCGTATTCTTAAAAAAACACCATAGGAGCCCACGAGATTCTATCACATTTAAAAGAAAAGACACTGACGACACTCGAGATTCTTTTACATTCTTAAAAAAAAGAAAACACGAGAAGCCCCCGAGATTCTTTCACATTTTGAAAAAAAGACAATTGGAGTCATCGTGATTCTTTTAAATTAAAAATTCACCAAGAGTCCCCGAGATTCCCTCATATTCTTAAAAAACACCAAAGGAGCCCAGTAGATTCTATCACATTTAAAAGAACAGACACTAACGACACTCGAGATTCTTTTACATTCTTCCAAAAAAAAAACACAAGAAGCCCTCGAGTTTTTTTCACATTTTTTTACAAAAACACTAGGAGCCCACGAGATTCTTTCACATTTTGAAAAAAAGACACTAGGAGTCATCGAGATTCTTTCACATTTTGAAAAAAAGACACTAGGAGTCATCGAGATTCTTTCAAAGTAAAAAATTCACCCAGAGTCTCCGAGATTTTTTGTATTCTTAAAAAAACACCATAGGAGCCCACGAGATTCTATCATATTTAAAAGAAAAGACACTTACGACACTCGAGATTCTTTTACATTCTTAAAAAAAAGAAAACAACGACAACCCCCGAGATTCTTTCACATTTTGAAAAAAAGACAATTGGAGTCATCGTGATTCTTTTAAATTAAAAATTCACCAAGAGTCCGCAAGATTCTCTCATATTCTTAAAAAACACCAAAGGAGCCCAGTAGATTCTATCACATTTAAAAGAACAGACACTAACGTCGCTCGAGATTCTTTTACATTCTTCCAAAAAAAAAAAACACAAGAAGCCCTCGAGTTTTTTTCACATTTTTTTACAAAAACACTAGGAGCCCAAGAGATTCTTTCACATTTTGAAAAAAAGACACTAGGAGTCATCGAGATTCTTTCAAAGTAAAAAATTCACCGAGAGTCCCCG